GATAGATGATAGATAGATAGATAGATAGACGATAGATAGATAGATAGATAGATAGATAGATAGATAGATAGATAGATAGATAGATAGATAGATATAGATACACACACACACATACACACACACATATATATATATATTTAAATCACTAGGGTTGCCAGCTCTGGTTTGGGAAATCCCTGGAGATTTGGGGTCTGGGGAGGGTGGGGTTTGGGGAGAGGAAGGACTTTAGTGGTGTATAATGCCATAGAATCCATCTTCTAAAGCAGCCATTTTCTTTAGGTAAACTAACCTCTGTCGCCTGGAGATCAGTTGTAATCCCAGATATCCAGCCGCCAACTGGAGGATGGCAACCCTAAGAATCACACACACACAGTACCTGGATGAGGGAGAAGCAGAAGTGAAATGGGGGGCGGGGAGGCTTCAAGTGCAAACAGGGAGGAGAGATTTCAAAATATCCCGAGCTACAAGCCACCTTCTGTACAGTGTTAAAAATCAGCAGGTGTTGACAGAGCCAAGGATTCACATCATCAGGAAAACTGGCAACTTTATTGCACACAATGAACCACTTCTAAATTGCACCGTGCCGCCAGGTAACCGTTGGTTGGTTTAATCGGAGATCAGGGGGCCTCCTTCCGTTTAGTAGGGTTCCGTGTCGACCGTTCGTGTCTGCAAAGCTCAAAGCGTCATTTTGCCAAAACATATAAACACAAAGTGCCTCTTAAGAAGCAAAAATGTTGTCTTCTTCTCAGTATAACATGATGCTTGAAATATTTAAAAGACATGTTAACAGACACCCTTTCATGTTAGTTACAGTATTTTTTTTTTAAAGACACTTTCTTTAATTAGCACTTACAAATAAAGCTGATAAGTACGCATCATCCCGGCCAGATTTGATTGCGTTTAGCAAGCTACAAGGTTAACAGGGACTTCATTCTTAATGCTGAATATTTATAAGTTGTGTTTAATATAAATACTGCAGATATGAGCAGCTTTGGGGTAGGTTTCGCTATTAGGCGCGAGCGATTAGTCTGCCGCCACCTCCCATCCCCCACACCACCCAATTCCGATTTAAATTATTTATTTATACATATTGCCACCCACGGGTATGACATGTACATTTCGGTCCAAAGGATTATAAACCTTGAGCTGTAACATTATAATATATCCTGTTCATATATTCCATTCAGGAAAGATCATAGCCCGGGTCAGAAATTGAGTTGGGTCAAAGATCCTGTTCCCATGGTACAGCGCAAGCACACCACTCCCAGTTACGTTCCTAATCTACCCACTGGATTTTCATCCTTTCTTCACTCAAAGAAGCTCAGGATAAAATACATGCTTCTCCCCTTCCTCCTTTTCATGCTCAGGACCAGGGGTCATTTCGCAGAAAAAGAGCTAGGGGAACTCATTAGCATAACTCATTAGCATATGCCACACCCCCTGACATCAGGGGCCCGGCGGTGGACCTGCAAGGCCAGCGGGAGTGCGAGGAAGCCCCGCCAAGGCCCTCCCTGGCCCCAGGCAGGCAGGGGTGGGGAGAGGCGGGGAGGAAGCAACTTACCCTCCCTCTTCTCCTGCCTCCTCCTGGCTGAATGAGGGCCGGAAGCGGGGCGGCTGGAAGCAGGGGGCGGGGCTTCATCATGTGCCCCACCCCCTGCACCTCACCCGGGGGAACTGCGTTCCCCCGCGTTCCCCCCCGAAATGACCTCTGCTCAGGACAGCCCTGTGAGGTAGTTAAGACAGAGAGAGAGCCCCAAGTTCATGCAGTTAGCTTGGTGGCAGAGTGGAGACTTGAACCCAGATGTTCCTACCCTGATATATTCATTGCTTCATTACATTGGCTGTCAGCGATGTACTTTGTAACATGGGTGATAGTCATGTGTGCAGGGGCAAAGAAAGAGATGTTTCTTCCCCCTGTTTTGAGTCTGGACCTCTTGTGCATAGTAGCATGCACAGGCAGTACCCATGTTACACATTGTGGTAAGACTGCGATGGAGCACCCATTTCTCTACCATCAGAACAGAAACGTCAGTCTAAATCGGGGTGTCAAACATAAGGCCCGGGGGCCGGAACTGGCCCATCCAGAGCTGTTATGTGGCTCGTAAGCAACTGGTACAAGGGAGGGAACAGGAGGCTGCTCAGGGGGCGGAGCCACTCCAATGGTGGCTTCAGCATGGCAGAACAACCTCATCTGCCGCAGTCAATCAGAACCCCTTCACTTCAGGCGACGGTAAGTTGGGAGCCACTGCAGCCACATTCATACCTCTGCACTCGGCCTGCAGCTCCGGGGATGCTGTCCCGGATGGCCTCAGGGATCAGCATTTGCATGTGGGGGGTGTGCAGATGATCCTCTGTTGGGGCCTGGGAGCATCTGCCCAGTGCTGCACTGCTGGGTCTCCAGTCCGCCCGTGTGGGTTTTCCTCTGCACTCCCCTCCCAGCCCAAGTGGTTAAGATGCTGAACTGTAGACCGGAAAGTCGGTAGTTCAGCAGTCCGAGACCCGAGTGTGCCATATGACAGAGTGAGCTCCCGTCTCTGGTTCCAGCTCCTGCCAACCTAGCAGCTCGAACACAAGAAATTGCAAGTAGATAAATAGGTAATGCTTCGGTGGGAAGGTAACACTGTTCCATGCACCTCAGTGTAGTCATGCCAGCCACATGATCACGGAAATGTCTTTGGACAGCGTTGGCTTTTCGGCTTGGAAATGGAGATGAGCACCGCATCCCTAGAGTCGGATTCGACTGGCTTTCGAGCAAGGGAAACCTTTACCTTTACTATAGCGAACCAGAACCCCATGGAAAACCCATGTGTTGCCCAGTTCACATATTACAGGATTGCATCTATCGGGTGGAGACTTGTATGCTCTCAAATACGCGTGACAGGAGGAGAGCCACACAAATTACACCTGAATGTCTGCAGAAGGTTCTCCTTTGAAAGAAATGGGGATGCTGCTCTGCATGGAAGAGTTCCGTGCTCTCAGTGACTGAGATGCAAAATGCACATGGATCTGTTGCGCAAGCACAGGGATTAGTAGGTGAGGCAGAATTGTAGAATTCCCACCGTCCAATTCCACTCTATTTAAACCCAAGTTTGTAGCTCTTATGAACACGGGGATAAATAAGCCTTTGTAACGGAACCCTGCCTGCTGGAACACCCGGAGCAGTTGACCAGGATGCTGCAAGAATCCCTGGGAAATCTCTGCAATTCCTGCAGGTGAAAGTTATAACCATTTCTAGCCTATTTTAATGCTCGCTGAGCTCTCAATCAACAAACAGTACGTCTCTGAAGAAGCTTGGAATCTCAAACGAGTCCTGAATAGCTTCATGGAAGACAGTGTCAATTTAACAGATTTCAAACCAATTTAGAGCATGCACACACCCCCAAAAGTCAGATTCTATGGGCATGCTCACAAAACTACAATTCCCAGGATTCCTTGGATGAAAACCATAATAGGTTTTTTTAAAAATATATATATATATAGTATGATTAACCTGATTTTAACTTTGTACCTAATCCTACATTTCCCAGTAGGGTAATTCCAGCATCTTGATTTTACAGCACCTCTTGTCATGAATTTAATTTTACCAAGATTTCTATAAATAGGGTTCATGGTAGCAAGGTTCCCCACACACACACACATTCCCAGATGATACCAATGTCCCCTTTGTTGACTGCAGGAAGAGGTCCTCTTCTTTTATTCCAGCTCCTTGAGAATGCTATAACCAACCAGGTAAAAGAGAAGTCCAGAAAGTAACACTAAGGGGACTCCGGCAGCCGCAAAGATGAATGACCATCCATAATAAACCTTTACAGGAATCTCATCTTCGCATCGAGCCCTTCTTTCGAGAAGTATGTACTTTGCGAGGTCGGCAGCAAATTCCTTCCACATCACAAACAGAAAAATCAACAGGGCGAATAAAATTCCTGTATATGACAGAAAGGGGGGGGGGATGTGTTACAATAACATAACATAAAACATAATATGCCAGCAAAGTGTAGGAGGTATCAGACAAAGATCTGAATGACGGAGGTTTGAATCTCCATTTGTGCCACGGAAGCTGGGTGTCCTTGGGCTGGTCTGTCCAATGACCCTACCTCACAGGGTTGTTTTTGTGAGAATAAATGGAGGAGGCAACGATGCTATACGCTGTTTTGGGTTCCCATCGAGGAGAAAAGAATTTTCAGTACATATTATGCTCCCAGCCTAAAGCATCCATGCAACAAAAGTTCCATTCCTAAAATGCAACTGCTGTTGAAACATCTTGCTTCTAACTGTAGCCTCCCAAATGCCTCTGGGAAATTGACCACTGGGGCATGAACCAAGGCAGTATCTTGGCTAGAGTGCTGGACTGGGATCTAGAAGACCCATGTTTGAATCGCCACCCTGCCGTGGAAGCTTGCTGGGTGACCTTGGGCCAGTCACACACTCTAAGAACATAAGAGATGCCAATGTTGGATCAGGCCAAAGGCCCATCCAGCCCAACACTCTGTATCACACAGTGGCCAGAAATACCAGGTGCCATCAGGAGGTCCACCAGTGGGGCCAGGACATTAGAAGCCCTCCCACTGTTGACCCTCCCCCCCCCCAAGCACCAAGATGACAGAGCATCACTTGCCCCGGAGTCCCTATCTATACCTTGTGGCTAATAGCCACTGATGGACCTCTGCTCCATATGCTTATCTAATTCCCTTTTGAAGCCGTCCATGCTTGTAGCCACCACCACTTCCTGTGGCAGTGAATTCCAAGTGTTAATGGAATTCAGCCTCTCAGCCAAACCTGCCTCTCAGGGCTGTTGTGAGGATAAAATGGAGGAGAGGAGAATGGTGTAAGCCACTTTGGGTCCCCCATGGAGAGAAAGTCAGAGTGTGTGTGTGTGTGTGTGTGTGTGTGTGTGTGTGTGTGTGTGTGATCCCCGTGTTTTTGGTTCCCAGCATTTGGAATTCAGGGGTATACTGCCTTTGAATAAGGAAGGCCCACTTCTGCTGTCACAGGTGACAGAAAAAGAAGAGATTGGATTTATATCCTGCCCTTCACTACCCAAAGGAATTTACAATCCAAGCGTCTTACAATCTCCCCACAACAGCCACCCTGTGGGGTAGGCAGGGTTGAGAGAGCTTTTACGAGAACTGCTCTTTCCAGAACAGCTCTGAGAGAACTTGTGACTAACCCAAGGTCACCCCAGCAGCTGCATGTGGAGGAGTGGGGAATCAAACCCCATTCTCCCAGATTAGAGTCCGTGCTCCTCACCACTACACCAAACTAGCTCCCATGGCACACAGCAGTCTATGGCATTCTACCACCCTGAAGTCCCTCCCACACCCAAACCCCGCCCTCCCCAGGCTCCACCCCTAAATTTCCAGGAATGTCCTAACCCTGAGTTGGTGAGCCTGTTTCCACAGCTAGTACCCAGCCTGGCTTCTGAGTCATAGAGCAACAGCCTTGTCCCCTCTAAGCTGTGGAGTCTTGTGGGCAAAAATTCTACTTTGTGAGCTACTGGCATTAAAGTTGTGAGCAAGCGATCTGGCTACTGCATTAAATTACTTTGCTCTGGAGCCGTCCTTCCTGAGCTAAGGCAAAAATGTGCGAGCCGGAGGCTAAAGGAGTGTGAGCTAGTGTGAGCTAGCTCACACTAGCTCAGCTTAGAGGGAACACTGGACCCAACCATTTACTGCATCGGCTGCTCTAGAGCGGTATCTCTCATTAATCTGACTTTGCTCAGTGGGGTCAGCTGGTTGAATAAACTGACAACATGGATCCTTAAAAAAAATCCACTCTCTGCCTCCAATCATTAAGGCCTGAGATTAATGATTGAGCCTCAGTTTCCGTGTTGATTTAGGTGCCAGTTTCTCCTTTGGAGTCTAGTGACAATTAGCACAGGCCATCTTTTGACTTGGTCTTCCCTCTTGGAGGAATGCAACACCTTGATTTGGAGAAAATTGATCACTAAACTCCAGATCTTCCCTTCTCACTTCATTCCCCGGCGCAACTTTGTTGGCTAATTGTGGGGGCAAGTGGTTGAACTCCCTGTCCTCTCTCCAAGTGATCCAGCTTCCCCGTAATTTGCTAATTACGGGGAAAGCAAACTCTCCGCCCTCCTCTTCTTCACCTTCTCGCTTAGCAGAAGCTTCCAGAGACTAATGAAAAATAATGTGAGGTTGCAGTCTTTCCTGGCATTTCCCGGATGCAAATGTGTGCGGCGTGCGAACAGACGTTTAGCCGCCGCGACAGAGAAATCTTGTTTAGGAGAACAACTTCCAAGTGTACCGCTTCAAACTCGAAAGTGTCCCAAAGAGCTTGACTGCATGCCAGGGTTGCCAGCTCTGGGTTGGGAAATACCTGGAGATATTGGGAGTGGAGCCTGGGGTGGGTGGGGTTTACAGAGGGGAGGGAGCTCTGCTGGGATATGACCCCACAGAGAGCCCCTTCCATATTTTCCGCTTGCCTTGGGCTTTCCGTCTAAGGGTAAACTCCCTTCTGATTTAGACTCCCTGGTTAGCCCACAGTTATGTAGGACCCTCATGCATTCCAGATTCAACCGCTGCTTTTCAATGGTATTTAAGGAAGCACCTTGCCAGAGGCAGAGGAGACCCAGCTGAGCTCTGAGCAGGAGACAGAGGGGTGAGTGGCTTTTTACTTGCTTTCAGCTGAGAGGATTCAGCTGAGGATATTGGTGGGAGAACTGGTCTGGGAGCGTGGGGAAGCGCTTAGAGTTGTTGCAGATTCCTGGCTGATTGAGAGAGGGAGAGGAAGGGGCATTGTTTGACTGTGATTGACTGCAATCGAGTATTTAAGAGAAAGACAAGGCCCTAGGCTCTTTGTCTTTCCCGTAAAATAATTTGACTTGATAACAGAAACCACATAAATACCAAGGGTTTAAAAGGGGGATTATATTTATTTATTTTAAAAGAATTATGAAGCCAGAATGCCAGCAGGGGGTTGGGGGCTATCCAGTGTTTTGCACGGAGTGTCACATGTATGACTATCTGCCCACTGGGCAGAAGTCTTGGGTGTGTCCTCGGTGCAAGGAGCTCCTGGTTCTCAGGGAACGTGTGTGCTCCCTTGAGGCCAAGGTGGCTGACCTGGAGAAGCAGAGACAGTCAGCTAGGCGCACAGAAAAGACTCTCGGGGACTTGTTAGCTTCGTCCCACTCTGGATCTGGCAGCCCCGCTGCTGTCAGGGAGCATGAGGGTCTAGGGGAAACAGGGCACCGTGCTGAGGATAAGGGGAATGTGCCCTCAGAAGGGACCTCTTCCCCAGCTGGTGAGTGGCTCTCCTTTTGCACCAAGGAACCATCCCTGGGCAGGGTGGGAGGGGGGCTCTTGGTAGTGGGTGATTCGATCCTTAGGCAGGTAGACAGCTGGGTGGCGAACCCGCGTACTGACCGTATGGTGACTTGCCTGCCTGGTGCGAAGGTAGCGGACATTACGCGTGTTTTAGATAGGCTGGTAGATAGTGCTGGGGAGGAGCCAGTGGTCGTGGTGCATGTCGGCACCAACGATGTGGGGAAATGCAGTCATGAGGTCCTGGGGGAGAAATTTAGGCTGCTGGGCAGGAGACTCAAGGCCAGGACCTCCAAGGTAGCCTTCTCAGAAGTGCTACCTGTTCCACGCGCAGGGCAGGAGAGACAGGGACAGATCAGGAGTTTCTTAGCAGTCCTAACTGGAGGTTTTAAGTTGCAATCTTTTATGTGCTTGTATAATAGTTGTTGCAAGGTGGAAAGGCAGCTGATAAATGCTTTAAGCCTCTGGTTCCCAAAGTGGGCAATACCGCCCCCTGGGGGGGGTGCTGGAACAATCTGCATCTTTTTGCCCACTTCTTGAAGGCAGATTTCCAGGGGGGCGCTGAGTAATCTTTTTTCTGAAAAGGGGGCGGTAGGTCAAATAAAAGAAGAGAGAAAAGAAGAGACTGGATTCATACCCCGCCCTTCACTACCCAAAGGAGTCCCAGAGCGGCTTACAAACGCCTTTCCCTTCCCCTCCCCACAACAGACACCCTGTGAGGTGGGTGGGGCTGAGAGAGCTCTGTTTGGGAACCTCTGCTTTAAGCAAGCAAATACATAAATTTAGCCCTCGTGGCCAACAGGTGGGTCTTCTCCATCCTGAGAAAACCTGGAGCCTCGTGAAACAGAAAATAAAGAACCACAGATTTGGTTCACACAAGGGAATCGAAATGAGGATTTTAGGATCCTAACAGGGACAAGAAATTTAAAAAGTCCTCGATACAAATCCTACGGGTCTCTCTTGCCCTGACATGAACACTAAACCCCCACAACCGTGACACCAAATTGGCTCTCTGAGGTATAATGCCATAGAGCAGCCATTTTGCACCAGCTGAACTGATCTTTATCATCTGGAGATCAGTTACAATCCCAGGAGATCTCCAGCCACCACCTGGAGAGTGGCAACCCTAAGTGAACAGGCTGCTGTTTGAAACAGAACAAGAAACTAGACTGGTATGAGCCAGCATTCCATAGTCCAAGGGAGGGGCCGTGGCTCAGTGGTAGAGCATCTGCTTGGCATGCAGAAGGTCCCAAGTTTAATTCCCCAGCATCTCCACCTAAAAGGCGCCGGTCATAGGTGATGTGAAAGACCTCCACCTGAGACACATGACAGCCGCTGCCAGTCTGAGTAGACAATACTGACTTTGACGGACCCAGGGTCTGATTCAGTATAAGGCAGCTTCATGCATTCACGTGGATGTGTTCACAGCGTGAAGCTAGTAGTTTTCAAATTTCACAATGCTTCTGGGTTTGTTTTAACAACACTGTTTTGTGTTATGCTGGTCTATGACCGTAATAAAGAATACTGATACTGACTCTGGAAATAATTTTGCCTGTGTCATTTCACTTTGAAAAGGCTGGTAGGCAGCTTTGCGGGCTACCTTGTCCCAGGATATGCACAACAAATGGGAAGATTGCAACATTACAGAAAAGAAAAAACAGATGTCTTCGTATGTCCCCTGTCCCCTAAGGATCTTTCAAGTCTGTAAGAAAAAGCAAGTTGCCCCCTGACTATTCAGTGTGTGCTGTGGCTGAGCCAGAATAGTGTGTGCTGTGGCTGAGCCAAGTCCAGGCCTCCATCTACCACACCAAAAATGAAGAAAAAGCAAGGGGGGGGGATACTTCCCATTTGCTCAAACTTTCATCTTTCTTTTCATGCAATATTGTGCAGTTTATTATTAGGACCAGTGTTCCCTCTAAGCTGAGTTAGTGTGAGCTAGCTCACAGTTTTTTAGCCTCCGGCTCACACATTTTTGTCTCTGCTCAGGAAGGAGGGCTCCAGAGCAAACTAATTTATGCAGCAGCCAAATCGCTCGCTCACAACTTTAATGCCAGCAGCTCACAAAGTAGAATTTTTGCTCACAAGACTCCACAGCTTAGAGGGAGCATTGATTGGGACGCCCCTCTCTTTCCCCGCATTCCCACGCACACAGATGGGCAAAGAGGGACTGAGCCTCAGCATTCTCGGCACCCCTGTACATCCAGTTATCATGAACTGTCTGCTTACCGGCTGTGATGAGGAATCCGCCTCCAACTTTATAGAAGCGCGCGTTGACGAAGGGGACGCCGCACACCAGCAGAAATCCTCCAACAAGACTGGCAGTGACCGCCAGCACGATGAACGCCGTCCAGAAGCCCCTGTACACTGCAGCACCAGAAAAGAAGAAAGTTGGAGGGAGGAGGGAGTAAACCCACCTCGTTGGATCTGCTTCCCGGAGTTCAGTTTAGTGTAGAGCCAGTTTGGTGTAGTGTTTAACTGCGCGGACTCTAATCCTCCAGATTTTCCGGGCTGTGTAGCCGTGGTCTTGGCATTGTAGGAACTGGCATTTCACCAGCAACTGTGACTGGCATCCTCAGAGGTATAACACAGAACGATGGAGTTCTTGACACAGAGAATACTCCATCTTTCTGTGTTATACCTCTGAGGATGCCAGTCACAGCTGCTGGCGAAATGTCAGCTCCTACAATGCCAACCCCACAGCCACACAGCCCGGAAAATCTACAACAACTAAAGTTAGACTTCTCTTTCTCTCTCCTCTTTCTTACAAAGTTTGTGCTCTTCTTAATAAACCGACTCAAATCTTTAAACAGCTTGCGCTCCCTTTTACTGTGTATTAGGGTTGCCAAGTGGCACTTACCCTTCCGGCAGGGGACTCCAGTTCGGCTCCCGACGTGTGCGCGCTTTGCACGCGCGCGTCGCATGCACTCCCCCCAGGGCCCGATTCCCCGGCGTTGGGGAACGGGCCTCTGGGGCGGGGGGTTTTCTGCCCCCCGGGGGGCTTTGGCAGCCCTACTGTGTATCCACACTCTACCAACACAGTGTACCTTGTTCTTTCTTTTGCATTATCCTCCAACCACAACCCTGCAAGGTAGGATAGGCTCAGAGCATGTGACTGGCCCAAGGTCAGCCAGCATGGCTTCCACGGCAGAGTAAGCTGCAGGCGATTCCACGGCAGACATAAATCTCATCAACATTAGTTTGAGGCTGATTATTGGGGGGGGGGGAGGCTGTATTCTAATGCAAACTTAGGCCCTTATGAAAATATGCATACAGTGAGCAATTAGTGGTGCAAGTTAATAAAACAGGTCAAATGCATCCAATGACCTTAGCCCGACAGAAAACACAATAGACAAGAACATAAGAGCTCTGCTGGGTCATGCAGAAGATACATGGAGCCCAGTTAAGGCTGCTAACCCTGGGTGGGGAGATCCCTAGAGATTTGTGGGTGGAACCTGGGGAGGGCGGGGTTTGGGGAGGGGAGGGGCCTCAGCAGGATACAGTGCAATGCAGTCCCCCTTCCAAAGCAGCTGTTTTCTCCAGGAGAAATGTTTTATGTTGTTTGGAGATCAGTTGTGATTCCAGGAGAACTCTGGTCCCCACCTGGAGGTTGGTAACCCCAGGGCTATTTTTGGGCAGGAACGCACAGGAACAAAGTTCCGGCTGGCTCCTGAGCTGGCCATGCCCAGCAGGAACTCATTAGCATAATAGGCCACACCCAATAGCAGGAACTCATTAGGATTGGCTACATTAGGGGTGTGTGGCCTGACATGCAAAGGAGTTCCTGGGTTTTGATAACAAACAAGGTAAACAGAATAAGAAGCAAAAGGTGGGTGTGGTTGGATGACCACATTTGTGGTAACATGGGGGTGCGGCCTAATGAGCTAATGAGCTGTGCTGTCAGGGGTGTGGCCCAATATGCTAACGAGTTTCTGCTGTTGGGTTGTGGCCTATTATGCTAATGAGTTCCTGCTGGGCTTTTTCTACAAAAAGAGCCCTGGACCCTATTTCCAGCTGGGAGGCTGGTCACACAGTGCGGGAGCTGCTCAGTCGCCCCCTGCTGCTTGCTGCCCAGCGACCGGGATGTTCCAGCATTTAGAAGATGTGGGAGGGGTGACAAGATTGCCTGCTCCCACCGGGTTCCGAGTCGGATCAGGATCGGGCCCTCGTGGCATTTTTGAAGTGGCCAAGTGCCATTGCCTGTTTCTGCTCGACTGGGAACCCCACAGCACCTACGGCACGTGGATTATATCTGGCACACCCCAATGTGAAGCGAAGGTTATCCGTTGCTCTACTGACGTGCACTTACCTGCAGTCGCATCATAGGAAGGGTGTGGATAAGGTCCGAGCGCGATGGGCATAGGGAACAGGTAACCGTTCATGCAGTGTTTCGGATGCCCTTGGCTAGCTGGGGAAAAGAAATGGAGGAGAACGAGACTTTTGTCCCTGCGAAATGATAGCCGCAAGAAACTTCTACAGGAACTCTAGCCATGCACACTTGTCAATAAGGCAATGCTCCCTAGTTCCGGGCTGCAGTGAGAACATTTCCTGCATCTCTCTACTACACGAACATAAACTTCCTCTCTCCAAATTGAGTCTTAGGTAGGACTGTTCCAGAAGATTATAGTCTTCACAGACAGCCACCCATTGACACATTAGAGCCCAAAGGCACATGCGAGACCTCAGAATGCCAAATCACCTCATCAAGGGGAGAAAAGGTTTCTGTACTTGAGCTGCGGTGGCTCAAGTGGTTAAGAAGCTGAACTGCAGGCTGTGGAAGGCCAGTAGTTCAGCAGTTCGAGACCCAAGTGTGCCGCATGATGGAGTGAGCTCCCATCTCTAGTTCCAGCTCCTGCCAACCTAGCAGTTTGAAAGCAAGAAATTGCAAATAGATAAATAGGTACCACTTCAGTGAGAAGGTAACAGCGTTCAGTGCGCCTTCGTGTTTAGTCATGCCAGCCACATGACCACGGAAACGTCTTCAGACAGCGCTGGTGTAATGCAAAATAGCCTCCATTTTTTGTCTGCTTGCAGTTTGCTTGACCAAACTTTAGTCAAAGAGGATTCTGGGTCCTTGTTAGGCCTGGAATGTGCTATCTAACTATGCTGCTGTAAATCTTAGGGTCCTAGAGGCGCCTGCAAGTCTCTTAGTGCCTCTTAGTTCCCTTTAAGACTTGCATGACTCTGATAACGGGAGAATTATGACCTTCACTCCCATGGCTGTACCAGCTGCAAACCCTTAGCAGTGTGGCCTTGGCGGCCATTAATTCATTAGCAACATTCCCAACTGATTGCACCTGTGATGGGAGGAGGGAGGAGGGTTATCTTCTAGAAATAACTTTCGATTCCCCAGAACTGAAAAACAAGTATTATGGGATATCCTTTGTTACCCTGGTTACCAG